GGATATTACCCAGCCAGCTGTGGTGACTTCCACATCTCTGTAGTCTCTACCTGGCTTTCAGCTCTTCCTCTTTGAATCCTGTAGCCCAGTGCCTCTTTCTTGGCCATTCTGTAACCTGTGATTGTGTGAATAGGTCACTTGATTGTCACACATACTAGTAATTAAAGATTGAAATAAAAGTCCAGTTGCCACACTCACTCACTGCTGCGGGAACCTTGAGGACTTGGGCCTGATAAGACTGAGGAAATTGATGTATCTTGTGAATTGTTATAAATTCTGGCTGGTTGTGGTGGCACATGCACCTATAATCGCTGTGCTCTGCAAGGATGAAGCAGGAGCATTGCAATTTAACAACTTAGCCAGACTCTAAAAAGACTTAGGGCTGTAGCTCAGTTTGAAGGTCCTGGATTGACTTTCCAGAATCTGAACAGAACAATTCAGACATTGAAAAGACACAAATATATTCAGTCTGTCGCTGGTATAACTCATGACAATAGAGATACTATTGAATTTTGTATATTGATATTACATTTTATGACCTTGGAAACAGCCTTTTTATTTTCATAGATTCTTAACAGAAAGTCATGGATTTTTAACACAGCCAGTCATGTTTCCTGTGAATAAAAATTTTTACTTCTTACTTTTCAGTCTGAATTCTTTGTATTTTTCTTGTCCAGTTGTTTTAGGAAGAATTCCCAGTAGGATACTAAATAGAGCTGGTTGGAGTGGCCATATCTGTCTTATTCCTGATTCTAAAAGAAGGGATTTGGGTTTTCTCCTTTGTGATGTTTGCTTTAGGTTTTTTGTTTGTTTTAATAAATTCTCAACTCAGTTTGGTGAAAGTTCCTTGTTTTAGTTTGATAAGGGTTTTTATAAGAAATAGAAGTTGGATGTTATCTCCTGCTTTTCTGCTTCTATTAAATTGTATAATAGGTTTTTCAGTTTTCATTTGTTAATATGATATATTACATTGCTTTGAAATTTTTTTATTTTTATTTTTGAGGTATGGAAATTGAACTCAGGACCTTGCACTTGTCAGCAGGCACTGTACTGCTGAGCTACATTCCTGGCCTGCATTGCTTTTTTTTAGATTGGTTTTTGAATGTTAAATTACCCTTTATTGCTGGGATAAACCCCATGTAGTGATGAAAATTATCCTTTTAATATATTCTTGACGTCTATTTTTGGTGATGGGATGCTACTTTTTTTTTTTTTTTTTTTTTGT